GGGCCAGCGGGCAGCGAGCCCCGGGCTCGCCTCTCCGACAAAGTCTTCTGCTACAACCCCCTCACCGACACCTGGAGCCAGGTGCGGCCGCTGGCTCAGCCTCGCTCGCAGCTCAAGCTGTTGGCCCTGGACGGTTACCTCTATGCTGTGGGGGGTGAGTGCCTCTTCACCGTGGAGAGGTACGACCCACGGGCTGACCGCTGGAGCCCTGTGGCACCCCTGCCCAAGGGTGCCTTCGCTGTGGCTCACGAGGCCACCACCTGCAATGGGGAGATCTATGTGTCGGGAGGCTCCCTCTTCTAGAGTTTCATCTACCGCTTTGACGTGAGCAGTGGCCGCAGTGGGGAGCAGGGCCCAGGCGGCGGGACTGGTGGTGGTGTCGAAGTTTTCCGGTACAACACAGTGGCCAAGCGCTGGAGCCAGTGTGCCAGCCTGCGGCCCAGCGGTGGCCCCATCCAACCCTTCCGCTGTGCTCCCTTGGGCAACACCATCTACTGCGTCAACCGGACCGGCACCCTCCGCTTCAGCCTAGCCCAGGATGGTGAGGTGGAAGCGGATGGCGGGCTCAAGGGCACCTTCGATGGGGAGCTTCTTAAAGCTCCCTTGGATGCCAAGGGTGTCCTCCTACCCTTTGTGCTCACCCTGCCCGAGAGGCTGGACAAAGCAGGGGACCAGGAGGGCTCCCTCCCGCTGTGAGGTGACCAGCCTGGCTCTGGCCTCCCAAGCGGGGAGCTGGGTTGAAGCTGTGGGGGACCCACAAACTCCCCCCTGCAAAGGGGACCCTCTCTGGTGTGTCTACAGAAAGAAGGGGCTCCCCCTTTCCTCTTCTCTGCTCCCAAGAAGTTGAGCTGGAGCCTTGGTTGTAACTCGGTTGTAATTCTTCTTGTGTTTGCTGTGCTTTGTGTGAAAAGCACATGAAAGGAAAAAGCTGCTATAGAGGATATTCTCTGGATTATGTTTGTGCCAATTCCTAATCTGAGAAAAACTTTTTTACACCTGGATTTCTAAAAAATTCCTGACAACAGTGTCATAATGGGACAGTACTGTTAAGTGTTGGTCACGTGTTTACACGTAGTTGCAATCTGGGCCTTTTCTGCTATTTGTTTTCTTTCTCTTTGGGATGATACCAAGGGATAAACACTGCTGGCAATGTAGCTTAGCTACATTTGGGTTTATGTTAAACCAACTATTTCCTGTGTTAGAAAAGTATAGGAAGAACATCTCCATCACAGCCTTTCATTTCTGGTGCAATAGATAGTTTAAGGAAGACATGGCACTGTGTGGTCCCAGGAATTTCAACCACCCTGAATGATTTAAGAGATACCAGACTTAAAGTTTTAAGCAACACAAATGTGTGCCACATGTTTGTATTTGGAATACAAAAAAAAAAAAAAAAAAAGGCAAGTTACCTTTTTAAAATGTGGCATGTTATAGCAGATATGAAATGTTATGTTCTTTATTGGAAAAAGGCAATGGTTTCTGTATAAAAAGACATCGTTTTATTACCTTTTTTATCACAGATTTTAAATTATAACAAAAATGAACTGAAGCTGTTCAGACTGCAACCGATTGACATGACCATGTATGCCACTAGAGTTGGGGGAAATATTTTGTACTTCAGCTGCTCTTTAATTAACTGCAGATAAAGGAAAAGTAACCTAAACCAAATGTAAATTCTTTGAAACTGACTGCAGACAGCTTAAATGTTTCACTGTATGTTAAGTATCCTGTGGAAGGGGCTTTTCTAACTTAGTGCAAGACCATCAAAGGAAGACATGAAAAATAGGAATGCGCTACACATGTTGACTATATTATGCACTAGCATGATGTTATTTCCCTATCTTTTGATTGAGAGACTGCTTTATTTATTTCGATCTAATGATTGCTGTAATCAATAAGTTCTTGTTAATTGCAGCACGTGCTGTTAGCGTGTGCTGTCTTTGGGATTCTGAACCGCCTGAGAGCACTGTTTGTGGAGCAGCATACTAACAAGATGAAACCATACAAAGCCTGTGGAAAGTCGGAGCATACTTTTTGTCATGTTACTCAGAACTGGGAAAGTGTAAGCGGTCTACACAGACAGACTGCATTGAAAAGGGAACATGCATTTATTTTATACATTTTATATAAAAAATCAATAGGCAAGGCAAATGTTTTAGCTTTACAGTAAATCACTGAGAAACCTTTTCTGAAAAACAGAACCAGTGTTTTTGCTATTGGTAATCCAGCCTGGAACTGGCATGGACTGTGGAAGGGAATTGTTTATACTCAAAGCTCTAGTATAGATTCATATTTTAGAAAGACATAGAGACCTTACATCAAAGAAAGCAGATCTTTTTATGTTTTATTAAGATGTTTCTGTTAAACAGGACGTTAGCATTCTTATATGTTATTGCTAGTTCCAAAGGAAGGCAGCAGGCTCTGTCCTAAGAGACACCATCTTCACAAAAGAGAATACTGAAGTTTATAGTTACTTCTTTCCTTCACTTTCATGTTGCGGTGTTTGGTTTTGGTTTTTTTTTTCCTTTTCTGCATCTGTCTTGCACAGGGTTTTAATGCAGCTGATCTGATTAGCCATCCTGTAGAAAACAGTGGTCCAGTCCTAAAAGTTCTTAGCCAAGTGAGCCTATTCCTTAGTGAGCTGATTAAAGCATCACCCAGGTAGGAGCTGTATGCCTGCAGAGTGTGATGCTTGTCTTAGCCTCAGTACAGGTTGGTGCAGTGGAATTTAATGCCACAGATGGTGTATTCATTAGTGATTCACAAAGAAAGTGGTTTTTTTTTCACTGAATGATGGACTTAATTCTCAGACAAGAATCCTTGGGAATGTTGACTCTAAATTACAGCATTGTAGCTTGAGCAGGAAAGAAAAATGATGTATTTGCCTTCGGCATCATTTTTATGTTAACTGTAGAAAGTATTTCAAGCTGTGTAGTGAAACACTTAGGTGCATACTTAAACTAAAGGCAGAAGCGCTAGGCCAGCTTTTGAACTAGTAGAGTCACCAGAAACACAATGAAATGTCTGTTTTATCTTACAATACCATAAAATTTCATAGTTCAAAATATTATGTAGTATAGTTCTTACACTACAGCATAGTGAGGAATTGAGCCAACTTTTGCATTCCTATTAATTAAGCATTTTCATTCTTGCTAATGCATGAAAATGCTGCTAAATGTGTTTTGAGAAGTCTCCATGATTTAAGCTGTGAAAATATGCCACAGACTTTCAGGAAGGAATGAAACTTATCCTTTCTTCCAATATTTGTTGTTTTACACCATGAAGAAATATATTTGGACATAATCTTTACAGTAATAAGTATTCCACGAACCTGCAGCGGTTTGTATTTTTGCTAGCTCCTGTTCTTAGAAAAGGCTGAATCAAGTGCTTACGCGCTTTCACTGTTTACACAGTGCGAGGGCAGAGTCTGGTCTTCATTAGTAGTTGTCTGTCAAACCTGTTTCCTTTGCACACTCTTTGCATAATCGCAGCCTGATGATTGACAACACAGGCATGTTTCTAGCCAGATTTCCTACTCTGGGGCCTCTGTTTCCTCCCTGGTAAGCCCGAGGCAGGTTTGCCGAAAGCTGTTTTTTCCCCCAGTTGTATCTTCAGCATATCCAAAAAAACCCCCATCAAACTCAGATACTAAAACCAGAATTTAGGTAGACTTCAGGCATTGAAGACCAAAATTGTCACCCCAGAACTCTGCATTTGAACTGAAACTGAGCAACCTCTGGCACTTTGACGTGTGGAGGGTGCTGAGCAGTTCCTCTCCACCGATTCAGAACTGCTCACCTCTGAGCAGTTACACACCTACCTAGCTACCGCCTCAACTCCTTTGAAACTAGGTGATGTGATACCCAGAAGCCACTGGTGTAATATGGTTTTATGGTACAAACTGAAGGGCAAGGCCACCCTCAAATTGTGTTTGAATATGTTTTGCTTTTAAAACAGAGCTATTTTATCTCATAGCCTGAGGGCTACGGTATTTGCATGGGAACATGGAGATATGCGTTCGCTTTCTTAGCCTGCAGAGGATTCAGTCCACATCTCCCACTGCCTGATTGGCAATGGATTGAAGGACCTTTTGGAGCTAATCACTGATCTCTAAATATTTATGCATTTTGTATTATACATTAATGGACTAAAAATCTCAGAAATGATCCGTGTAGGTAAATTCTGAGGTGACTCCTCACTGAGTGATCTGAGACTAGCTGGAGAGACATAGTCCTCTCTGCTGCCTTTCTTCTCCATGGGTCTCACAGTCCCCTTCTTCCACATTTAATAGGGTGTGCAGGAGATAAATTATTCTGCTTCCTCCTCCAGGGAGTACCTGTTTTCAAGGTCATCTGCTTAGAGGACGTAGGCTTGAATTCCCTTAAGCTGGGTAAGGGCTTAACTCGGGCCTCCCATGTCGTGTGTGTGTTCTCAAATCTAGATGGCTATTTAAAAGAGGAGTATCGGGACCACCTCCTACAGCTGTTTTTCAGGGATGAACCTCATGCACATCCTCCAAAAGCACACATAGGCTCCTGCACCTCAAGTTCTGGGTAGATTCCATGCTCCAGCTCCTGGATGGGTAATTCAGGACACGTTTAGTGCATGTTGGTGCAATTGGGCAAGTTTTCTTCCGTGGAAAGCTTTTCCAGACAGGCTCTGTATTTTGGGCTGCCAGTCTGAGGTGAGGGACTGACTCCATGCGCTGTACTGGGAGGCCAAGCAGGAAATTTGGATTCTTCTCAGGGGTGACGCCTTGGTAAAGAGGCGTTGCAGTGCCTAACGTGGAAATGCCTAAAGCCTTCACTGCATCTAAAACTAAATCCCTGCTTCAATAAAGAAACAAGCCTTCTTAGCAATGCTAATACCAGATGGAGCTTTACTATTTCCATCTATTAACCGGTTCTGTAAAAAGAAATCTTAATTGCAGCAAAGGTATTTGTACAAATTCTGTTTACACTTGGAAACAAAGTCAAAGGAATAATTGGCAAAAAAAATAACCCTATTTGATCAAAACAGGCCCTGTTAAGCAACATGGGAAGGTTGCTAATCATACCCTATTAATGAATAAAATTGTGCAGTAGCTGATGTAAATTCTGTCCACAAAAAAATTCTTTGTAAATAAGTACCTGGTGAAATTTAAAGTGATAAAAGAATAAATTATTCACATGAAAGCTGTAACTCTCCTGTGCTGTTTGATTGGCTCTCAGAGTGTCGTATCCTGATTATCACTATTCACAAGTGGCCTGCTGCTTTTCCCGCTTTACGGTACCCGTTCCATTGACTGCTCCATAGCTGTGTTACCCTTTCATTATCGCTGAGCTTAACGGTGGTACTGGGGTGATTTGCTTTGTCTCTGGACTGACACGTCGTGCTTTCTGCTTGAATGAACCCAGAATATTTAGACAGAACTGTATCTTTGGGCTTTTTTTTTTTTTCCTCAGTGGCGTTCTCCTGGGAAACTTAAGAAAGCACAAGTAGGGGACATGGTGGTACCATTGAGCAGTTGTAGTAACAAGCATTTAATGAATTTCTGTTTTTGTCTGCCGTTATTCTGCGCACCAGACTCGCACTGGATTTAACAGAACATCTCTGTGCGCGCTATTACCAGTGTGAGCCCGAGTACTACTGTAGCAAACTATGTTTTCATTTGAGTATATTTACTGCCTCAACTCCTACTCTGAGATAATTTAGTGCAAGTTTATAATAGTTCCTCACATTTAGTAGATTCCTGGAATTATTCTGACTTTACATGACTGCTACTAAAAGCAGCGACTGCCACTCAAGCTCAGTAAAATCGTGCAGTAATCACACAACTTCATTTGCTTTGGCCTCCTGAATGCTGAGAGCTGCTGGCATAAGCCCATCGGCATTGGGAATCAGCAGGCTATTTTGGAAGCTCTCGAACTTTCATCAGTTACTCAATGGGAAGAAATGGGAGTGTGGGGCAGAGGGGTAGGAGGGAAGAGAAGAATCGAGAGTCCAAAATACCTCCTGTATATCCAGTTGAAACAAATAGAGGGGAAGGGAAACCAGAGTTGGTACTTGAGACAGCTATGACTAGAGGGCCAATTGTTTTCAAATATTTCTTAAAACAGCCCGAGTTTTTACCACTTATGTTGTTAGCCTTATCATTTTACACCCGCAACACATATCAGACAACCACAGTGTTTAATAAACTGCTTTTTTGCAGGAGTCTTGCGCTTTGCTCTTAAGTAGGTAATCCTTGGACAAATTTGTGAAGTCATGAAATAACAATGTCGACGCTGCCACTTACAACAGATTAACTAATGCAAATGCTTTAGGCACTGTTCATAATTCAGGTGAATTATATGTGTAACTGATGTATTAACAGTTTCATTTTTGAAGTATATATAGGTAAAGCTTTTTATGTACTCCAACTTATGCTGTAATGAAATAAACACATACAAAAAGCTTATGCTCCCCCTTAGGGATTTCTGGGTAAGTGGTGTTTTTTCTTTGTCATCCACCCAATCAGTAAACAGTATTATATTTCTTCTTACAAAGCAAAGACAAAGTTATATGGATTATCGCAAAGGTAAGATGTTTAGGAAATGTTTCTAAGGCTAAGGAAAAGGGAGTATTTTCATTTCACAGTGCACTGGGTATTGGGAACATGAAATACTCTGCAGTGAAAGCACTTACCCTAAGTGCAGATTAGCATAAGCTCCAGTTCAGTTAATTTTTATTTCCCTTTTTTTTTTCTTGTCAGTATGTTAAAGTACATTATTTATTTATTTACAAAAGTTACATGCAGGTTTTTCCCAGGATACTCACCTGTCTTATGTCACATGTCAGATTTTTGGCTGGTGTAGATTTACAGCAGGGTAGGTAAAAGCAGAATTGAATCAAATTTCCTACTTCATCTCCTACTTGCTTTCTCATCGGATAGTTTGCTTGCAATGAAGTCATATAACCTGTCTGAAAACTCCAAGATTCATGGAGAGACGAGGTGGGGTTGGACTCGGTGCCATTCCATTGTTTCCTTAGCTGCCCCAACACGCAAGCTCTACCTATTTCAGCTTGCTTACATTTTCTTTAGAACGGCCAAATTCTGCTGCTCGCTAAACAAGGGTAATCTGGAATAACTTGACCAAACCTCTTAGATTGCCAGAAGATTTGGTCCATTCAGCCCCAGAGTTTTGAGTCTGTTTCCATTTACTAGGGACCTTCATTGGAAAAGAGAAAGAAAAGCTCTGAAAAAGTAAGTCGGGCAATCACTAACTCGAATGTGTAATTTTTTTAAACTTCATTAGTACGTAAATTCTTTAACTCTGCCGTTTTTCTCTGAGCTGTGAGCTAGACATCGGGAAGCTTAGTGCCTGTGAAATTTTCTCTCAAGTATGTCCTCCTGCTTGGTTCACTGAATGTTGTGCACCAACATCTCTCAGGATGCTTGGGCCCCAAGCTCAAGCTTCAGGTGTATCCACAGTCTGGTAAATCATGTGGCTGGGTCCAATAACTTGTGCTGTGTCACAAGATTAATTTTCCAGTTCTGAAACACTGAAACCACCACTTGTAGCACAAAAGGATTTAGGTTTCAACTCCCGTGTCATACCGAGTAATTACCGAGTGTACAAAACAAGTGTGTCAACAAACATCGAGTTTACAACCTGTGGACAGATGTACCCATCGTGGGCGGGGACAAAGACAACTCAAGTTAGTAACTACTGATACTGGGACCATGCCTGGAAACAAACCCCAGTCCTGGTTCAGGATTGCATTGTACAGGCACCTGTAAAGAGGAGAAAAAGCATTTGTAGACTAAAAAAACCTATGTGGCTGAAAGTAGGTCAGGGGAGCAGTAGGCATTTATTACTCAGGTGTGGCAGCACCTGCAGGCTTCTTTTTGAAATGAGTGTGGAGAACATCTGCATCTCATAAATACCACCGGGAGGCTGCTATGAGGGAGGGAGCTCAGCTGCGGGGGGCCGGGAGTGTGTCCCATCACAACTGTGACGCCTGCTCGCCAGGTCGCTCCCACGGTATGTGGTGACAGAAAGGAGCTGAATGAGCATCCTGACGCAATGACAGCTGTCCTGACGCCGAGTCCTGGGGACAGAGAGAGGAAACGGGATGTGCCTGGCAGTCGTACCGCTGTGCCCTTCAGCGCTGCGCTCTTTTTGGGGGCTGGCAGCGCCGGTTCCTGATGAGTTCCCCAGTGAGCAGCTAACGCATGGAGAGTTTTGAAGGTGATGTCTTTTTCTCCCTTTCTTTCTTTTTTTTCTCTTTTTTTCTTTCAATTTTTCTCCTTTCTCTTTTTTTTTTTTTCTTATTTCATCCTCTCCTTACCATCCGCACTCCCCTTCTCTTCCTCTATTTCCCTTCTTTTCTCTCTCTTTTTTAAAAAATTCTTTGCAGGTTGCGTGTATTTCTCTCTCTGCTTGAATATTCCAATTGGTCCTACAGGGGGTCTGTGAATTTGGAAAAATTTGGAAACCAATGAAAAAAATTACCCATTGGAAAGCAATGAAACTCCCTTTCCTCAGGAGGCAGACTTGCCTTCCCTAGCCCTGAATTTCTATACAAAGTGGGGAAGACTTAATCCATCTGCTCCTTGGCAGAAGGGTACAGTAAACCATGAGCTGGTTGCTTCCCAAGGAAATAAAGTTGTGAGCAATTAAATTAGTCATAAAGCCGACTTAAGGCAGGAGTTCTTCACCTTTTGTTAAGCTTACCCATGCTTTTAGTCACTGTAGGCTGTGGCTACAAGAAAAAGTAACTGCAGGATTAAAGTATTGACCAGGTAGGAGGTCTCTGAGGAATGAAGAAAGAGCACAAACTGCTGCAGAATTAAGTTAATTCCCACACCATTTAGAAACCATTATTTTAGTGGTCACAGCCTAATTTATTGAGAGTTTGTACATGTATTACAGATGAAGGGGTAGTTCGGGGGTTTTTCTCTCTGCTGCTTTGCAGTTCTTTGCACATGTGAAAAAACATTGCAGAGTTTGTGAGTAGCAAATTCTTACCCATTCTGCACGGGTAAGTGAATCTGTCATCTGCAGTGATGGATTATATGTCTCTCCCATATTTTTCTAATTAAAGAAGATGCTGAATCGTGATTAGAATAAAAGCTGACATTAACAATATCTAACTTCAGGGACTGCAAATAAGACAATCCATTTTTGCCATCATTGCCAGCCTCTTTTTAGATCATAGTGAAGTTCTAGGCAGGCAGAGAGTCATCTTAAAAATATGATTTAAACGATAAGGAAAAATCAAAATCACGCAGGTCCATGAGAGATCTCCTGGTCTGGGAGCAGCGCTGGGGGGGAACTTCCATAGGCCAATTAAGAGAAGCTGAATCTCTTTGCTTTGCGGTCTTACTTTAGTTCTGTGCTCCTATGTATCTTTTGAAAGCAACTACTGACTCCAACTTCACAACCAAATTAAATGTTGTGTGATTTGATAACACGTTGCAGGTGCAGTACTCTTATCAACCCCTCCTGAAACAAAATGAAGTGTCAAAGTACTAATGGAGAAGTTTGAGAGAACCACCTTAATTCATTGGCAACTTCCTTCGTATCTCCTTGTTAAGCACTTCTTCAATCAACCAAGTGTTTTTTCAGTGTAGATTCTGGCTATGTCCAACTCTGGTTTGCCTTCGACAGGGTTGGAGCATAAGGGTATGATGATAGCACATATTGATGTATGTCATGTTTGTTTGAAAAGCCTGGCCCGGACAAGTCTCTAATTCAGTTCATTTTGATGCGCTAATGCCATTTAACTCAACCTACTTGCTGTCATTGCTGTGACTTTTCAAGCAGGCTGTCAGCATAGAGGCATGTATCAACACACGTATCACTATATATGCCTGCATCGTGCTTTTCTCCCGGTCTAGAAAGGGGCATTGCGCCTGCAGCCACGAAGAGGAAGGAGCGGTGGCTGCTCACCTGATGCTCCCCGCTGTAGGCAGCAACTGGAGGGATGCGGGGAACAGAAGTTGTTCTGGCTCCTATGGCTTTCCTGACCAGACCGCCTGGCTCAGTGCCCGCAGAAAGGAGGGAAGCTGGGGAAGCTGGATATTCCCTCTCCCAAGAACACGAGAGGCGCCGTGGCTCAGTTGTTACTTGTTTGTAGATCTCTGGGGAGAGCGCAGTTCCAGCCTTCCTCTTACTTAAATTACAAGGTTGCCCTTCATTCACAAGAGCCAGGAAAATAGCTCAGCTTACATGTGGTAAAAGAGAACTTGTAAAAGAAGTTATTTTTGAAGGGGCAGTGAAAAAAACAGTATTTGCATTGGCTGCTCTTGATGTTGCTACTGTATTTGAAGCAGTGCTGTAGGCTTCCTCATCAGTCCCAGGGTTTCCTCATGCACAGTTTAAATGCGAAGGGATCCAGGCAATAGGGTCACTTTTTTTTGAACTTGCCCCGTTCTCAGAGGGCACTAAAAAAGGCAACTGAGCCCAGCCAGCTGAGCGACTGCAGCAGTTCATCTTCCACAGGGCAACGCAGGGACGCCCTGCATTGCTGTGCCACGGCTGACAGGGCAGCAGAGGGGGAAGAGAGTGAGGGGAGCAAAAGGAGGCTTGAGCGAAGCATTCTCAGCCAGAAGAAATCATAGGTGCAGATTACTTGGAAAACAGTTCCCTGCTGAAGTTTTTCTGGCTCTAGCACACGCTCAGTGGAAAAAAGAGAAAGATACCTATGAGCAATGACTGAACAGTGGAATTACGGTTAGTTTCTGCTCCTCGTGCAAGAGGAAATACAGGCGTTAGGAAGACTTGGTTTTATTTCTGGTTCTGCCATAGCCTTCCATCTATTACCAGGGAAAATCTGTTTAAGCATCAGTTTTCTCTGAAGAGAAAAACTGGGAGCAGGGAGAGAGAGAAGGATGATTCATCCCATCAGATATTGGAAATAAATAAACTTTTTGCATCAGTAAAGCACTATGGGA